TCTAATGCTAATGATTGCTACGCGCGTATTTAATCTAGCCATTATTATCCGTATAGCAAATACATCGCGCTTGCGAACGTGAGGATCTTTCGCAAATGTTTTTCCTACGCTGCCTACATCCTCGAGTACCAACCTATGGTAAAAGCACGTCGCTTTTACGCTCGTCACTTTAGCACGCTCGTGATTGGTACAAAATTCTGCCCGGTTAGTTTACGAAAGGACGATCTGACGTTCACTCTTCTTTAGCTGTCCACCGAAAATATAGCACGTACGATGAATGAAATGGCCTCTGAATGAGTTTATATATGTAACTGATATATATATTTATTTTATTTATGTTACTTTTGCCAGAGTCACCGGACGACTGTTTTTCCGTAGGTCATCGGGTTGTCTCGAGAAAGCAGGACATTTGCCAAATATTTACTATAATTTATAAGTTAGAGAGCATGTTGACTTGAGCTACAGTTACCAGTGGTGCCAAACTCCCGCTTGAGTTCTACAGTGCTGCCACACAAGAACGTTTCTTGCTGGTCTTTTAAAATCTCTCATTAAAAACAAGGACATTTTCCAGAACGAAATTTTGTACAATTTTTATGTGAACGATAATTGCTGTTCGGTCTTAGTTTGCAAGATTGCTTAGTTTGCAAAAATTGTTAGGACTACACAAGGATTACGCCTACATGCGTGCCGTGGACGCGTTTGCGTCGGCAAAAGATCGCCTGACCGTCGCTCATCGCCGGACTTAACTCAAACCAATCAATAATTAATTAAGTAATTTGTTCGAACTCCGCCGACCGATTCTTTGCTTCAGCGATAAGATAAAGATTTTTTCTTCTTTTAAACACTAGAAAAGATAAACGGATTTTGGACGAGGTCACTGAAGTAAATATTTACCGTCGTTATTATTAAAATCTCGTATTGGTTATGTACAAACACGCGGAACACGTGGTGTGTCTATTTAAGAAGAGATGGAATGGGTTTTCCGAGGAATCGAACACGTTTCAAGATAAGCGCGTACAATTCCTGTAAAATTGGCGAGCGTTTACAGTTCCAGTTCCCGATAACGTAAAAGTTCGAACGTCGGAATGACCGATTTCGCACTTATCATTGAACAATTGTTGAAATTATCGAGACTCTTTCACGAAGTAATAAAAATAATCGAGACTTTCTACGGCGTAACGAAAATGAACAAAAGCCTATATATACGCACGAAGCCGAAAATCGTTTAATCTTATGAGATCAGAAACTGAATTATATGCTAAATACTGCTAACGTCATTTTACGTTTAATACTAATCAATTAATACTAATTTAATACTAATTAATTTCCCGATTAAAATATTAATAATAATAATAAATATTTATAATATAACCTAAACGGTGACGTGCACCGACGATGCTTCATTTGTGCAACTTTGGAAGATTAATGAACTGAATTGTGAACATAATTAATGAACTAATCAAAGTAATTTAATTACTAATTAAAGCAATTACTAATAAAAATCCCAACGTTCCAAATAATCGAATTTCGCACATCGACGTAAACTTTTTAATTCCACGCAATTCGTCGGACGTTGCTCTAATTACACAAGTGAAATCTTGAAAGTAATAGCGAAAAACGTTTTCGGGATCAAAATGGTAGCGCCGTAAGCAACAGCCGGCGTACTGCGGTAATATCACCTGCATTGCGAAATACGCGCACGTAGCAGATTTGAAATCGTACGATCGTTTACATTTCGACCGATGAGATCCACAATCGAAACTGTGCTTATTTAAACGGTAAACAAAGAAACGATAACGGGCGAACGTATTTAAGAAATAATAATAATATTCGTTATTAATGTTTTCGCATTGTTCGTCACCGAAAATAAAACACGCGAATTGTAATAATTACGTGTAATTAGTGGAAAAAACTAAGGTTCGCTGTTTAATGCGTTCGTGTAGCGCGAAAAAAGTTGGGAGGAGAGATATGACGCAACCTGCCATCGGAAATAATTCATGAGTCACGCGTGAAATTTTTCGTTCTCGAATCACGAACAAAAATATCCGTATAGAATACGATCATACGAGACAGCATTCCTAGCGACAAATTGTTCGGATAAAAGGCGGCTTCGCACGGATTCCTTGAATTCTTACGTGGCGCGTGATTCGGACACGGTAATACATATAAAGCAGCGATCGTCGAATTAAATCGTGCGACTGCTAATCGTTGAAAAAAATATGTTTATCTCATTACTGAATTTTCCGATGATCTTTTTTCATCTACTAATTCGACCAAAAGAGGTCGTAAGGTATCTCCGTGGCGGATCAATATCGAGAGAAAGAGGAAAGATAGAGTATGTACATATGTGCTTCAGTACATACCATAAATATTGTACACAAAGAACCGATAATACATCTACTTTACGATGTGGTATATATATAATATTATATATTATCCTAATATAATATTATTGTTATATACATATAATATTATATATTATCCTAATATAATATTATTATTATTATATATAATATTATATATATTATCATAATATAATATTATATAATAATACATATATATATGTATTATTCCTGTCTCTTATACACATCTAGATGTGTATAAGAGACAGGAATAATACATATATATATGTATTATTCCTGTCTCTTATACACATCTAGATGTGTATAAGAGACAGGAATAATACATATATATATGTATTATTCCTGTCTCTTATACACATCTAGATGTGTATAAGAGACAGGAATAATACATATATATATGTATTATTCCTGTCTCTTATACACATCTAGATGTGTATAAGAGACAGGAATAATACATATATATATGTATTATTCCTGTCTCTTATACACATCTAGATGTGTATAAGAGACAGGAATAATACATATATATATGTATTATTCCTGTCTCTTATACACATCTAGATGTGTATAAGAGACAGGAATAATACATATATATATGTATTATTCCTGTCTCTTATACACATCTAGATGTGTATAAGAGACAGGAATAATACATATATATATGTATTATTCCTGTCTCTTATACACATCTAGATGTGTATAAGAGACAGGAATAATACATATATATATGTATTATTCCTGTCTCTTATACACATCTAGATGTGTATAAGAGACAGGAATAATACATATATATATGTATTATTCCTGTCTCTTATACACATCTAGATGTGTATAAGAGACAGGAATAATACATATATATATGTATTATTCCTGTCTCTTATACACATCTAGATGTGTATAAGAGACAGGAATAATACATATATATATGTATTATTCCTGTCTCTTATACACATCTAGATGTGTATAAGAGACAGGAATAATACATATATATATGTATTATTATATAATATTATATTATGATAATATATATAATATTATATATATTATCATAATATAATATTATATAATAATACATATATATATGTATTATTCCCACAAATTACTGCCTACGATTTCCGCGCATCAAAGCATAAAAAAAGTTTCCATGAAACTGTCTCCACAAATATCAACCGTACTTCTGGGATGCGTATTTATTTTTATATATTAAGCGTCAAAGACAAAGAACGTGCATAAATGACACATGATGTTGCTATTGTTAGAGATGAATAGACGGATTAACGTAACAGCGTGGTTAACCATAACGGATTCGCCGCCACCTCGGTTACTGATATAGCCAAGACGAAACTTTCCGTTCACCATGTGCTATAGTCATCGGTGACCAATACTCTATACATTAATTATTTACTCGTTTATGTTCGCACAATTATAATTATTTTCGACAGAAAGAAGAAATAACAGCAAAGAATAGCGAACGTACCGCGAATTAAACAATGTTTAGGGTCGCCATGTGCTATAGTCACCGGTGACTAATACTCTATACATCAATTATTTACTCGTTTATGTTCGCACGGTTATAATTATTTTCGATAAAAAGAAGAAAAAACAGCAAAAAACAGCGAACGTGCCGCGAGCGAAACAAATGTTGTTCGGGAAAAATTATTTGGATAATCTGCGCTGTAATTTGTCAAGGCGTGCATAGTACATATAACCGGCGTGAGAGCGGAAGGTCAGACGAAATAGGTTCCGCGTTGAACCTGTTAAAAATCAATAATACCACGTTTAAGCATTATTCGAAACTGGGATACAAAAATACCAAGATAAATAAAAAGATAAGATAAATAAATATATCAAGATCAAATAACTGCGCGTACGTGTTAATTTAATTATGCCGGTCTCTTTCTAGAACCAAATTATTACGATAGATATGAAGAAAAAAAAATTTTTTTTCATAGTGAGGTCTTCATAATTAGCGACTAACTTAACGAGGAAGAAATATGAATATGTAAGCCGGTAGAGATGGGGCTTCGTATGGAAGTTCCTTGTTTACCGTTACACACCGTACATTTCTGCGTAACGGTAAAAGACGCTGTTGTCTTTAGGAACAGCGATTTTTCGCTGCTTTATTATATATACGGTGACGAAAAAAAACTGTCACGTGTCACGTGTGTTAATGTTATTAAAATGTCGTGTGGTTTCTACATGTGCGATTTCATTGGCTCGACAAAAAAACTTGGACGTGTAACTGTAATAAAAATGTCGTGTCGAATTACTCATCGATTAGAAGAAAAAAAATTGTAACAATAGGATCAAATCACGATACTGCACGAGGTAACGAACCTTCGTGGAACTAAGTACGACGCGTCCGGAATAAATAGTCGAATCGTTACGCCTCAGGAAAGCGATGACGTTGTAGTCAAGCGGAAGTACGGTTCACTTCGTGCGAAGATGGTAAATTAATTAACATTTCGCGCTAATCGTTTTCTGCTTTCGAGGCTTTAGAGGTCGAAAGCGAAGGCGCAGAGAGCCGGATGAACATTACGAAGAGACTAGAATATTACTACGAAGAATATTACTAAATTTCATCGGACACCGTTTATCAGATTCGAAAGAACGATTTTCCACACGAAAGAAACTTACCGATACCGATTCTGGGGAATTTTTCTTTCGGCGCCGTGAAAGATATTAATTCGTCCACCGCTTCTTTTCGTGCTTCCTGCTTCTCCGGCTTCGAACATTTCATCAGCGTCGCTTCGATTTCCAATTCCAATTCCAATTCGTACTCGTCGGTCTCTGGGGCATCGGTTCGCTCCTTTTTATCTTTCCGAAGAACGAAGGACGTTTCTTTCGCGGTGTCTAGCTTTTTCTCGTCGTTCGAACGAGATTGCAACGTCTCGGGGATGGAATCGGGCTTCGTCGAAACGGGTTCGGGTTTCACGGGAACGGGTTCGGGCTTCTTCTCCGGAACAGAAAGGATTTCTGGCTCGTGGGAAACGCTCTGCGGTGTCACTTTGTTGTTAGTTTCCGCCACCGGATCTTTTATTTCTTCTTTAGGTCTCGCCGCCGGCACGTTCATTAACTCGTCGTCATTTTTCACGGGAATCGGTTCAATCAACGGGACCTCTGTCGGATCTGTCAAGGAATGAGCAGGCCTCGGCTCCGGCTCCTTGGACCTAACCTCAAATTTATTCTCCTCGACCGGTCTAACTTTCTCCGCCTCCAGCAGCAACGTCGTCGCATTCTTCGGATCCTCCGGATTGCTCAACGATTGGTTAGGAGAAAAGCTAATCATGTCTGTTTCCGCGTTCGTGTTTGGTTCCAGAGCACTTTGCGTTTTCTCAACGTGACCTTCCAGCAGACCCGGCTGTCCATCCTGGACGTTCTCGAGATGCTCAAAGTCGTCCATCGAATCGTGCTCTCTTCTGATTGGTTGCTCCTTCAGCTCGGCCATCTTTGCTACAAGCGAGGAGTCGATTATCCTGTCATAGAATTGAACTTTTCTTTTAGCGTTCGCAATATCGTCCGAACTTTCTATCGTTATTTTAGACCGGCTGTTCCAACAGTTGTTCAACGTTTCGACGACGATTTAAATACGCAGCGCGATTTTTGTACAAATTTATCTCGGTGCGATAGTGTTTGATCGTCGTATTGTCGAACTTTCGGTCGCACAGTGTGTTTTCCGTTTACTCCACTTTTTTTTTCTCGAACGTTTGAAAAATTAAAAGCAGTTTCGTTCTCACTTCGTATTCTCTTACCGTCACTTGTTATTAAACGTTGCGAAACTCCGTAGCGACAACAGAGAACATTCACTCGGCAACGGGTGGATTCAATTCTGAATCACGTTCCATGACAGAATGTACTTCGCAGGGTGTGCGTAAGAGGGTTCTCGCCCCACTATCAGCGTTTCCGCCAGGACCGTATACGTTGTGGGTAGCATGTCGCACGGTTCGTGTCGGTCGAATTTTGTTCACAGAAATTTCGCGTAGCTATACGTGTACCGGTGTTTAAAAGACCCTTGAATCTAGTCATACAAAATCACAGCGAAAAATAATATCTACTTTTGGAGCATTGTGTACGGTACGTGTGTGTGTAATTAAAATTTCAGCATTGGGATTCGATGGCTCGTTCGTTACTGGGATCGAACCAATCAGAGCTGAACTACGTTCTCCCACCTCTTCGTTTTGCAGGTGGAGGGAGGCGTGGGAGTTTGAGACAATGAATCACACACATTTGGCAGAATAGATACTGACGTTAACTTAACACGATCTTTCGGTTAAAATTAACGAAAACGTTCGAGATATCCAATAAAGCAACAACAATGCATCGCGTTCATTTTATACTTTACCGTAAACATTTCTTTGTTTACTCGACTCGTAAAGTATATCATTTATCTGCGCAAGAAAGTTGACTTATTGCTATTATCCTTTTAACGAATATGTAACGTTAAATGAAACCAGCATATTACCAACGCATTGTAATATTGAGTAATTAATAGGTTATGTGAAACGAAGAGAACGTTCATACTAATTTAATAGTTTTTGCATGTATCGAGGTATTCTTAATTTCTACAGTTGCTATCGTAACACTATAACAAAATATAACGGTACGATTTAAGTTATTATCGCAAAATTCACATAAATATAATTATTCGTCGACTATAAGTTGTTGCGGTTTTACACCTACAAACACATGGGATTTGCGCACGAAGTATGCAAAGCGTACGAAGTGTGCTCCGGCGCATGCGCCGGGCCGGTGTCCTGCGTTAAAATCGCGGTCGCATAGCGTAGTCACGAATGGTAATTGTAAAGTAAAAAGGATCTCTGAAAATATCAACGAAACGTGATAGAACACTGTTCAACAAGGTTCCGACGGTGTTGTGACCACAGCCGTTTGTAATAATCCATTAATGTTCAGTGACCTTTCGACGAGTGTCCTAGAAGTAAGTAAAAACTCTGTCCTCAAGGTTGTCAATGTTTAGACACATATCCATTTGCTATGTGTTTAGTTTCAATTTCTCCGTCGCATTCCACGTTCGGTTATCTCTTCGGTTCTGTCGAATAATTTCATTCTTGTAAACGTAAGATTCGTTTTGGATTAAATAAAATTGGCGAAACACTTATTGGAAATTTTTAATAATCGTGGATACGTTTATTTCGATAGAAAGGATCGTAAAGAAAATCGATTCGCGAACGGTTCTCTCGATGTGCCTGCACATTGTTTAATTATCGCTATTTCTCGATTGTATTCCCTAATCCTGAAAGTATGCGATCGTACATAACAATCGGACGCGCGCATGCGCGTCCCGGACGTGTTCCTGCGTTATCCCCGCGTTTCTGCGTAAATCGCGGTCATAAAGTCAACAGCAGGAGGCGCATGCGTTGCTAACATCACACGACATCGCGACGCGTGGCGAGCGTCAGTTAGCGTCAGTCTTTACTTGTTCGTCGTGTTGCACGGGTCCGTGTGCTCCCCTCCTCTCACACTCTCTTTTTCTCTTTCTCTCCTTTTCTCTTTCCGGACCTACGGCTTTGGTGAAAGATTCGCCCTACGCAAAATGGCGGCACAGGCTACCACCAGGAGGCGACCGAATGAACACGAGGAGAAACCGACCACCAGAAACGGATTAACCTTTTGCGAAGACATCTTAACTAAAGACCATGCCGGTTTACAGAGCAATGGACGTGTACAGGTTAGATCGTCACCTGTCACGCACATTTCTTTTCACACAGGAACTATGTTTGTTCAACAATTTTTGAATACTCGTGTTCCGAATACACATATATTAGAAGTTCTGAGAGAGTATATGTTTATATGTACTTCCCATAAAATAACACGAATGCCCTGAACGTTTCCTAAGTGGTTGGGACAATTGCTGATAGGCAAATCGAGGTTTGGAATATTCATAAACACTAGAGAACGTTAATTTCGAAGCGAACGAACGAACAGATAAAACTGAAAATACCGTTTATGTCATCGTCAATGAAAATTTATCGAATTGTTCGGTTAAATCGTGTAGTCCTGTTGCATTTGTATTAAAGAAGATGCCTGCGACGAGTCTGATTCATAACAGAAATTATTTGTTGTTAGTGGTACAATCAATTTTTCGAATCTCGTTACGAATCTATGAAACAAAACGGAATGGTTGAACTGAAAATTTTGGTGTCCTTCGCGATCTTAATCTTGGTGCGACTGAAATTAATTGAAAGGGAAACGGGTTGAAGTGGGATAACCGAACTAATATTAAGGTGGAGTTGTCTTTAATTGAGCGAACGATGGCTATTCACACCGTAAAGCTTGAGAGTTGCTGAAGTCAAATGATTTAAAAAAATATTCTGTACCATTGTTGAAAGTACTTTTACGATTTACAATAGAATATTCGTTGCGAATGCAAGTTTCTGTCAACGTTCGTTGAATCTGATGTAAAGTATCGAAAATAAAATACAAATATTTAAGTGCCCCAAGATTTTTGTTATGCCATCGTGACGTTTCTTTTTTATACATTCTTATCGACCACAAATAGGTACACGGTTCATTCAATATTTAAATAATTTAATTATTGAAAGTCGCGTATCGTTCCCCAAGTTTCTAACCTATCCTTGGGGCCTCGAGGTAAATGAGACGATACTTATCTACTTCCAATGTCAACACGTGACTGTAGCTTCGCAGAAAATGTACCTTATCGACGAACATTTACTTTCGGATATTGTAACATGTTATTATATTACGGTTCGTACTATGTTGCATAGCGCGCGCGTCATTTTTCTTTTTCATTGTAAAAAATTTATCTGAAGGCATCATAAATTTATTTAACTATACAAATGTTTTTCTTTGATAAAATTCTCTCCGGTAGTTGGCTAGAAATATGTGTTCGTTTTATTAAAAAATTCAATTTTCAAACGGATATATATACAAATATATATTTTACCGCCAATGCTTTTTAATTATATTCATTTATTTTCAAGCGTTCTGAAACTATATCGAACGAAGCATTGGAACGATTAGAAGTTCAATATTTCGTGTGAATGCATTTCTCTTCATTCTTTTAGTTGATCGCAATGTACGCATTAGAGTTTGCAACACTATTTCGCGGTTAAGAGGTCGAGGTTATCGATTTTG